ACATATATATATACATATTAAACCTTCCCACGCCCTTGATAATCTAAACAGTGTTTCTAAACTCTAAACGCTCTAAAAGAGCACATACTGTCATGATGTCAGCTCTCTTCCTTCACTGCCACTTGCCACTCTTGGCCACGCCCACTTCTCCACTGCAGAGTGGAGATCAGCTGATCAGCTGCTGTAGGGAGCTTTTTCTGTAGCTGTGGGCTGCACACAGGCGCTATATCATTTTAAATAATTTATTTTAAATAAAAATTCCATGCCGATCGTGCGGCTCATCTATCAATCAGCCATTTGTGTGTCATGTCCAATCTTATTTTGAAAAACCACGATAGAGCGAGTCCGCGACAAACGAACTGCGAAGTATCGAGGGACTATTGTATATCATAAGCCATCGACAGATTGTGTAGACCTGAGTAGAGTCAAATTAGGGCAAAGCAAATCGTAATGAAACTGGACAGCTGAAAAACGGCTTTAGTGAAGCCCCAATCATGCTTTAACTATAGTGGAGTGCCATCCTCTTGCACATCTTATTTTCCATAATAAAACACAGCTCAGCATTTTGTTGAGCTGCATGCATAAAGAGGAGCCGCCCGTGTGTCAGCCCAGGTTAATCCCAACAGCAACACCTGCACAAAAGTCATTTCTGCTCCCACATCATTTAATAAAAATAAAAAGGCATTCATTGTTTTACTAACCTCAGCTGCTTATATGTTGGGCAGTTTTGCACTGCTGGCACATAAACAGACTTTATAGTTTCATGACATCATTTATATCTTACATATCAGCTCTACTGCCAAGGTAAACATGAGCAACTGTTACCCTATTTCTCTGCTGTTGGCGAAGCCCAGCAGCAGCATTTTTCTGTTTTGAAAGCTCACAAAAAGACGCACAAGAGGCTCTGCAGCATGTCAGTCATACCCATCCCAACTGGTGCCACTCATGTAAAGATGCTTGGCATTATTCTAGTATGCTGTGGTTATGATACACACACTCGCACACATCTGCCAGTCTCCATCCAATCACAGTTTTGGTCTCGGTTGCATGGCAGGGCTTTGTTGGGGAGTTGACAGCAAAGGTTGCTTCCTAAACCCGGCACGCATCCATCAACAGCTTTTCTGCTGCTTTGGGATGAAGGGAACTGATGATCAGGAGGATTTTTTTATTTCCTTCTGCTCTGTTAGTTCACTGTATCACCTTGACAATGTTGTTTTCTGTCACAAAACATACTGGGGTTGTGGGGAATTGTATTTATTAAAGAGGACAGTGCTTAAGTAAAATTTTTCCTTGGTTTTGTGGAATTTTGTCAACTAAATTCACTGTGCTGTGCTTTAAGATAAATGGATAACATGTTGGAAGTGGGTCGTGGTTGGAGGTAGAGATGTTGTTTGGGGTAAATGAAAGATGGATTCTTTTTACTGCGGTCGCTTTTGTATTCATATGCGTTGAGCTGACTGACTTTTGAGGTACTTCATTGTGCATGAGTGCAAGTGTGTACTGTGTAATGTGCAAACATGCAAGATGCTGCAAGTGGAACATCCGTGTCCCGTCTCAGCAGCACAGCTTAGGGACTGCACATCACTGTGTAAATGCAAATTGCAGTGTCATGCTGATCAATCCCAGAGGCTGCTGAGAGAGGTTTCTGTCGAGATCAGTCAGCAGCTTCTTGGCTGTTCTGCGCACTTGTTTCTGAATGGCACTGTCTGTCTCTTGTTTCGTTTTTTCTTCTTCAGTGGATTTGTTCCCTCTAGCTCGTCTGCTTTGCTTATTCCATAATGCTTTTATTGGCTCCTGTTTGACCTACAAAATTCAAGACCTATTTGCAAATCAACAAATTCATTCTGAGCGTGTTTGCATTTCTAAATAACTAACATTAGGTAAACTGTCTCCTTTGTTTGTTTTTTTGTCTTGTTTTTTACAGGATGCAACTTGAGTAGAAGAATACTTGTGAGGCTGGGGGGACAGAGCGTGCAACTCTTGGAGAAGCTGGTCATCACAAAGCTGGGTGGAGAGACAAGATACCAATCAAAATACTGTTTGGAGTTTGCTAGCCATGCTTTAGCATACAAGACATGCTGGCTGAGCACTAGATAAGCACTCCTTACCTTCTCATAGATTCATCTGAGCCACAGACTCACGCAATACCCTCTCATCTGTCATTTATGACCCTTGCCAAGATGCCAGCGCCAAAGTTAGTGCTGTGGCATTTTTGGTGACGGGGGACAGTGTGCGTGCGGGCGCATCCAGGCGAGGCCGGAGGATTGGTGGGTGGACAAACGCACCACGAGGCTTTTTTGGTGGGTGTGGTTGAAGCATGCGGCCCTGGGCAGGTTCCTGGCGTTGGATTACCCTGGTGCTGTTAGCCTGGGGCACACTCCTCTTCTACATCGGTGGTCACTTGGTGAAGGACAGCGAGCACCCAGAGCGGTCCAGCAGGGAACTCTCCAAGATCCTGGCCAAGCTGGAGCGACTTAAGCAGCAGAATGAAGATCTACGACGCATGGCTGAATCTCTCAGGTAACCAGTTGACTATTTTACAAAAAACGCTTGCGCTTAATTATCTTTGTAAAGCATATCTACCATTTAGCTTAACTTATAGTAACGCTTTATTCCCATAAAATTCTGTGTAGGTGTAAGACTCAGCCAGAAGTACATTTATTCCAATGAAAACAAAATGTGTGAATCGTGCACTGTTTGTACTGAAAGTTTTTTTTTTGGGGGGGTGGGGGGAGACAGCGCTATTTGCACCTACAGTTTTGGGGTGGTTTTTTTATGGGGGGGGGGGGAGGTTCAGCATGAGGGAAGAGGCTTCCTTTAGTTTTATAGTTAGCACACCTGTATTGCGAACCGCTAGCTTAGTGTTATGTCAGTGCCGACAGGTGTGTGTGTGTGTGTGTGTGTGTGTGGTGGGGGGTGGGGGTTCGGTAGACGGGGTGGGAACCCCACTTGTAAAATGATAAGGGAAACACTGCATTATATTCTACCATGTTGTTGTTTACTATATTTCTTTAGGACCTTGTAAATATTACATTTCTTTTTCACCTTTTGGTTCTTTATTTTGTACTCTTATTGCATGCTTTAGTATTTCTTGTTTTGTTTTTTTTGTTTGTTTTAGTGAGTCGTATCGGTTCTTCTCAGCCTGAACATTTCATTGCAATGTTGACCTTGTGTTAATCTGCATGTGGCAAATAAACATAACATAACCACTAATTTATAGCAGACTAAACTTCTCTTTTCCATTGCACATTTTAGTCAGTTTAAATTGAAATGCATTTCCTTAAACTGGACAGAAAAGAAATGCTGCTCGAGCTAGCCAATGTTAGCATTTGACAGCCAACATTAAACACGTTATTAAACATAAGAGGCGTTGACTTTTACTCTTGGAGCTGTGTTGAATCAAAGTTTCAATCTGGCTAGAAAACCAAATACTTTCAGAACATTTGCTGATATGGTAAAAATACTCAACTTACAGTGTTGATATGATCTGGCAAGTTATTGCGTTGTCAACATTTTGAGTTGTTTAGAAAACAATTTTTTATAAATGAGTTTGTGACTTTTTGAGCATGGCACATTTAACAGTAAATGTTGATCTTTAAAGCTGTCTGGCTTGTAAAAACTTTGATTTAAAAAAGCTTTAGTGGTGAGTTGCTCCATTTTGTTAAGTCCAACAACCAGTTCTGCTTGTAGCTCTTTGATAGAAAGAAATCAGACGGATAATATAAATGCTACAGTGCATCAGTGAGACGAGTGACACTTTCTGTGGCTTATGGTTGAACACAGCTTCATCAAATGACCCTTTCACAGTTTGAAAAGCTGATCAGTGGTGTTAGAGATGCTGAGTGTGACAGTTTGGTGGCGTGTCACACACCTCACCAGATCCTGTTATTTTTGAAGACAATAGCACGTTGTGCAAGCCCATTAACCACACAGCATCTTTCACACATTTAGACTATTTGTAACAGGGAGACAGATGGTTCCGCTCTTACGTCCACATGCTGACAGTGTTTCTCTTCACACTCAAACTTTAGATCTGCATGTGTTTGTGCGTGCCTTCATGTGCAGAGGAGTGTTTTTTTTTAATGCACGCGTCATATTAAAGAAGAGCTTTAGATGTTGGAATTGGTACTCTTCTGTGATTTTCTGATTCGCTTTGATGCCGGGTCCTCATCGACGTGCACAAACATGAACACACACACGTGCGTCTCTTCAGACAGCTGTTCCCCGATTAAATCCCTTGCTTTTGAAATTATTCAGAGTTGGCTCCAACACAAAGGTAGAACTCATAGGATAAAAGAAATAAACAAGTGTGGTGTTCAGTCGATGTCCACATGGGTCCCCGATGCACTGCATGCTTGTTGATTGATATTGAGTTCGGTTGTTGATCTGGGGCCGAGGCCTCCTCACTTGTTTACTGTGACAGTGCCTTCTCAAGTCTCTTTATGCTTCAGCTGCATCGGATCTAGTACAAGAAGCTAAAAGGGGTGAGTGTGTTGCAGAGGTAAAGCTTCATGAGCTAACAACAGCATCGGAGATTATTCTGCTCTCTGTTCAGTTCTATATCTGTTGGCACACTTGCATGTAAAATGGTCAGATATGGACCATCTTGTAGGGCCTCTTATTAAAGCCCTAATGCAGGGGTCTGCAAGCTGCAGCTCTCGAGCTACATTTGGCTCTTTTGCCTTTCTGTACTTGCTCCTTGTTAACCTGAGCTTAAAATTAAACGGCAATAGGAAAAGCATATTTTTAGTTTACCTGTCTGTCAAGATTTATTGCAACTTGAGAAATTGAATTTCCCGCAACAATGCAGTGTGAATGCTTATTGCTGAAAAACAGCTGAAATTAGCTAAATAAAACATGCTGAAATTAAGAACAAGCCTAAGTTGGCAGAAGAAAGCAGAAAGAACACATATTTGCTGAAGTAGGTTTAAATAAGCAGAAATTAGCACAAAAATTAGAAAATTAGTTGAAAAAATTAAATTAGCAAAAAATAACTGAAAAGTAGCTGAAAGGGCAGAAACAAGCTTACATTACCAGAAGGAAGCGGATAGAGCTGAAATTAGCTAAAAAAAAAAAAAGTGGAAGTAGCTGAAAAAGCTAAAATTAGCATTAAAACGGCTAAATAGTAGTTGAAATAGCAGAAGAAGCTTAAAGTAGCAGAAAAAAGTTGAAAGAGCATAACAAGCTGAAATGAGCAGAAATAAGTGAATTAGGATGAAAGAAGCAGAAATCACTAAGTAAAACTTGAATTTATCTGAAAATAGCCAAAATTAGCTAAAATGCAAAAAAAAATCTGAACAGGTAAAACAAGCTTATAGACAAGCTTATTAGCAGAAGAAAGCAGAAAGAACATCCATCCATCCATTATCTTTACCCGCTTCTTCCATTTTTAGGTTATGGGGGTCGCCAGTGCCCATGTCCAGCAATCACAGTGCGAGGGGCGGGGTACACCCTGGACGAGTCCAGTCCATCACAGGGACACATAGAGACAAACGAGACAAACAACCATTCACTCTCTCACTCACAACTAGGGACAATTTAGAGTTACCAATCAGCCTAACATGCATGTTTTTGGTCTGTGGGAGGAAACTGGAGCACCTGGAGAAAACCCACGCATGCACGGAGAGAACATGCAAACTCCACCCAGAAAGGCCCCTGGACCGGGGTTGCCGAAAGAACATGTTTGCCAAATTAGGCTGAAAAAAGCAAAAATAAGCACAAAAAGTGGAAATTATCTGAAAAAGCTTAAATTGGCAATAACAACAACAAAAAAAAACTGGTAAAAGTAGCTAAAAAAGGCACAAAAGAAGCTTAAATTACCAAAAGGAAGTGGAGACGGCACATATGTGCTGAATTGGGTTGAAAAAAATGAAATTAGTGAAAAAAATGTGGAATTAGCTGAAAAAGCTAAAATTAGCATAAAATGGCTAAAAAATAGCTGAAATAACTGAAACTAGCAGCAATAAGCTAAAAGGAGCATAACAAGCTAAAATTAGCAGAAAGAAGTTAGAAGAAGCACAAAAATGTTTGTTAGTAGAAAGTACCTGAAAGGAAAAATGGATCACAATACAATGAATGCTTCATAAACATTCACACAATGAGAACATTGAATTTGTGCAGTAGAATGGCACTAATTATACGAGCAGTTTGGGTTGTTTGTTGTTTAACAGGCATTAGTCAATATACCAATTACTATAAATGCACGTTGTACACAGCTTCCTGTCATTTCAGAACCAGAATTAGATAAAAATGTATTTAGTTTTCACTAGTTTGTGTTTAAAATGTTAAACTGATGTTTTAGACAGTCTTGGTAAAATGTATTCAACTTTTTGGCATTCAAAGTAATCTTCCAAATCCACCAGATAATGTATATTTTTACCGTATTTAAAGCAAATTGCTGTAAATACAGAAATAGTTTTGCTCATTTAGTGGGGATTTTAGATTTTAAGACATCATATGTTTGAAGGAAATGCAGCTAGTTTCTTGTAATAATGTGAAAAATAATTTTAAATGCCTGCTTCTAATAAAAATAAAAATCTAATCAATTAAGGTTGTCCTGTAATTAGAACATTTAAGCTGCACCATTGTGCTTTTTAATTACTAATTTTACCTTTTTGTTGTACTTTTTTTTTTTTTTTAAAGAAAACTAGGAAGTACTCCAATTTGCATCATTCTAATGAAAAATTCAGTTCTTTGTATGGAACTGTACTATACAAAAATAATACAATTTTAAAATACAATAAAAGTATATGAATAAAGCCTATCAATTGTGTAATTTTTACTTTTAAGAATCAAGATTTGTGGCTCTTTACAAACTCTGTTTAGTTAGTAAAATGGTTAAATGATTCTTAAACATAACCCGCTGCCCTAATGAAAGCAAGAAGGCTGGTAGTGAGCCGTCTGTCATCCCTTCCACAGCCTGTCCCTCCTCTCCAATGAACCCCCTTTTCTCTCTTTCTGTCGCTCTTTTCATTTATCCATTTGCTCTACCTCTACCACCGTTGCCGTGTCACCACCCCAGCTTCCTGCCGACAAATTGTCTCGGAATGACTGACTGTGTAACAGCTCGCTAGCTCACTGATCGACCATCTCAGCACACATTTAACCTAATTCACCAGTTTACATGTTGTGCTGGTTTGGATTGAGAACATGAATCTCTGCAAGGAGCAAAATTAGTTCTTTGGAATCGTTTTGTTGACATCAGATTAATCAAGAAGAATTCATTCAAAGTACCGTACTGTCGGATCAGTACTTTTTTTTTATTTTTATAAATGGACTCGGAGAAATTTAAACCCATAAAACAAGCATTAAGTCGTATCACATTGAGTTCTCGCGTCGCCTAAAAACTCATTGCGTTCAGACTGATTTATAGATCAAAGTGGAGTTTGACTTGGTTATTGTCATTACGCCACAGTAGATCGATGTGTTATGTGTTATCAGGCAGCATGGTGCATTCATTATGCATTTAACAGGATCTTGTGTAGATTATCTTATTTGCTTTATGACAGTAAGTTTGCATA